GTTAGTACAAGAGCCAGCTGAGTACAATTAACAGCTTTTTCATTAGCCAGCTTTTCATGGACTGATGTCAAATAAACACCAGATCCCTTAACTAGGTCTATCATCTACCCAAATAAGTAAATAATTAACATTGTTGTAATAAATGTATGTACCCTATATTTTTCAGCAGTTTTAGTATCTAATATTCAGGGAAGTGGTGTCGCTGCTTCTTAAATGAAAGATAATAAACAGATGTGGCTATACAAACATTTACTGTCAACTGATATTTTTCCAACTTCTGTTTTTAGCTGTTTATATTTCTCTTTAAGTTTTTTATACTTTCCTATTCACTTTTAAAATAATGTAAAATACAACAAAAATATGAATTATTTGATGAAGTACAAAAGGGTACCTTATTCATTTCTTCCTCGTTTGTACAAATTTTTTCTAAAAAATTTAAAATAAAATTAATGTATGTTCAATGATTATTTCTTTGTAATGCGTGATTTAACTACCAAATGAAATTAGTAACTGAAAATAAATATAATTAAAATGTCTTTGATTGTCATGCAAAAAAAAACACCCCACATATGAGAGTGAAATTAGAAGATAGATTTGATTGTCAATTTGACTAATGCATATGTGACTAGAATTACTTGCTGGTTGTGTTTCAAAATTATCAGTGTCATATTTGGCTGATAATAGAAATAAGATACTACACTAGACACAAAAATAATGTCCACTTACAGTTTGGAGTGCTACATGTATTTGATGATGACGTATAATATTGCGCTTTATTCCCATTTTTGTCACCTTTAACCCTTTCACAGTCAATAACGCATTAATGCGTCTGAGGGTGGGTCATTGAAAGTGTCAGTAACGCATCAATGCGTCAAGATGCATACAGCTGCTTAAAACTATTTATAAAATAGTCTGCTGCAGAAAGTAAAGGTATTGTAGGGTAGAGAAAACCATCCCTTTCTTTATTTCCAAGTTATAAGCTGGTAGCCAGTTGTTTTGCTGTGTTTACAGATGAAGAAATGATCGTTGTCATTTTTGACTGCAAAAAAGGCCTGCTATCTCACACACTTGATGCGCTCGAAAAATAGCCAGCACATCTTTTCTCCATGATGTCTGAGGAATCCAAAGATATATTACAAGTAGCTATAAGATTTGTGAAACGCCCGGAAAAAGAAGAAACTCTTCTACCTTTCTTCCGCTGTACAAACCAATAGAGAAATGAAGTGGGCGTGGTCTCGAAGCAAGTCAAAGAAGGGCAGTGTTTTCTCTCAATTCTTGGTTACCTTTTGGAGAACAAGCTTGAAACTTACGGAATAACTGAAGTAGAACCTACAGAGTACATTTATGAAATCAAAATGATATTTTTCTGTCTTTTCCTGACTTCTTTTTGCACTACTCTGCAAATACATCGCTGCAGTTCATCATTACAGCAACAGACAGCAATATAACAGTACTAAAGAAGTTGCTTTTGATAAAAATAATGGTTGTAATGATGATCTATCATTGTAAAAGCATTTGCATTTGAGAAATAGTAAATTTTAGCTGAAATGCATTGTCACTTGGTGAGCAGTAAATGGCGGTAAAGCATTATTGGTTGCCACAGCAATATTGATGTAGCGACTGTGTTTATTGCGATAGCAACGATTGGAAATGTCACATGAGCTTGAGAAGGAAAAGAATCCTTCCTTCTTCTGATCCTTACTACATCTTGGGGCTAATGGATGGGAACTCTAGCGACGATTCAGATTCCGATCTGTACTCAGATAGCGATGATGAGCAGCCCTCTAGCCCCAAGTCTCCACTATATCAACCTAACAGCTCTTTTCAGAGCCACCCAAATCTCTCCTCTACCAGCTCTTTTCAGAGCTACCCAAATCTCTCCTCTACCAGTTCTTTTCAGAGCTATCCCACTATTTCTGCTACCAGCTCTTTTCAAAGGTATCAAACTCTTGCCACTACCAGCACTTTTCAGAGCTCTGAAGCTGCTCTGGTTTACAGCCCCACCCTTGGGAACTCAAGCACTTCTTTTAACAGCTTATTGCAGAGCCACCAACTACGTGTCTCTACTTGTTCTTTACCTAGCTCATATCCCTCACCACCTCCACTGCCACCACCACTTGTAGTTCCACCAAGCAGTTTTACTGGTACGAGGTCTTGCATGGAACCTAGCAGCTGCAACTCCTCAACAGGTATAATTATCATAATAAGTACTTTATGGACCATAATAACAAAACAAAAATGTGTGTAGGAACTTCAGCTTCTGCTCCTAACTCTGCTACAGAACTAGGCACATCTTCTGTACCTAGCAGACCAAGTGAGACAAATAATTATCATTAATTTTGCAATTACAAATACAAGATTTTACACGTACAATAGCTCTTCCGTTCGCATCTCATCCTGGTGTATCTAAAGAAACCCAGAATTTTACTACACCAGCGGATTATATCTCCCTCTTTTTCAGCACAGATGTGAAGGCAAATGTTTACCAGGAAAGCATCAGGTATGGGCAACTGAAGATGCCTACTACTGATTACTTGGAGAGACATCCAAAAGCTGTTATTATTGTTATAAAAATGTTGGGCTTTCCTAGATTGGGCAAAACATACAATAACATTGATGAAAAGGAAATTAAATTTTTATTTCTACAGAGATTATTGGAGTACTCCATGGCCCTTCCACAATGACTCATGATCTTAAGATCTTTAAGATCTCCCTGTCTTTAAGATCTCATGATCTTAAAGACAGGTAAGTAATAACTTATTACAATTGTTAGTGAATACAAAATCCTTCGGTTTTCTTGTTTAGGTGCCGTCAATCAATCGTCAAGACAGATAGAATGCCACAGCCATACCAACTTATATTAGTGTCAGTAAAGGTTGATAGTTCATAGAAGCAAGGAATAATCTTTGTAGAGTAGGTCTGTATACAGTTTGTGATGAAGAAAGCCAGTATGAGTGAGAAAAACACCCGAGTCTTCATTGCTGTCAAGAAATTGATTTCATAAGAAGGCCAATGAAGGAGTACAGACAAACAGTTATAACTACGTCTGAGTACTAATGCTAGACTTGTCAATTCACAGAGGGATTGAAGGGGTTTATATCTATTGCTATAGTGCAATGTTTTCTTTCCTGTACTTTATAGCACAACGAAAGTGTTGATGCGGAATAATTATGACAGGTTTATGATGCTGGTGCTAAACAATGGTTACATTCTTACTTACTGAGATTGCCTAACGGTAGCAAATGAATTATAAATCATTATTCTACTTGCATTTCTTCATATTGTATTGTTAGATGTCAAAATAATAGTTTTTGTAAAGTTAGTCCTTATTGCATTATGCATAGAGATTGAAAAAAAACATCAGTAGGCTTGGTTTGGGTGTGGTCACGATTGCAAAGGAAGAATCAAATCTAGCTTTCTGGCAGTTTTCCTCCTTTATCTTCCTTTCTAATTCATTTTGGATCTCAAGATTATAAAGACAGGTAAGTGATAAATTATTACAATGGTTAGTGAAAACAAATCCTTTGGTATTCTTATAGTATTATGTAATATTCAAACAGAAGAGAGCTTCGAATCCAATGTTGATAGCTCCAGCCTCCCGCTTCTCTCAAGTTCTCCGAGAGCTGCACTGCGCTGGCGCATGCGTTGATCTATAGGCGTGTCTTTAGGAGGAGTTTCGTATTTAGCCACGCCTTCAATCCCATTATTGCAATGATAAGAGGGCTGTATAAAAGGTATTTAAGGAATCCTGATCCTTTGAGCAGTATACGTAGTAGTACTTTATATGATGCTAATAGATCAAGATCAAGGCTTGAAGTTGAAGCAGGTAACTAAACTGATATTGCATTGAAATCAGTCACGGGCAGGCTCATTGATGTTGCAGCGGCTACAGCCAGCATCTCGGCCAGCCTGTTGGACAGCTTCTTTAGATAATCATTAATAATCAGTTAATTGTAGAAGAGTTTGATGGAATTTCAAGTTCAGAGGAATCACCATTAAGTCAAGATTCATTAACTGAGGAAACACAGTCTTACAGTACATGTGAAGCAATATTACTTGTATAGTTTAGTTATTTATTATATATATATATGTAGCAGATATTAATGTAGATGATACTGATATTATGTGATGATTCTTTTTTAATGTGTGAGGGTTTAATGGCAGAAGGTGATTGTATGCTGAACAGTGACACTGAGTCAACAGTCAGCATAATGCCAGGTTAGCAGTACATATATTGAATGAGCATGCAGCTGGTGTCATGCATTAAATGTAGATGATGAAGGAAGTTTTATTAACACAGAAAAACATACAAACATCATAAAATTGAAGGTACAGGTATATAAATTTACATTTACAACTCTCTTTTTTATTGACGTAGACTCAACACCACTGTATTCAGGATAATCCTTTACTACTGATGTAACTCTTGTAATGATATTGATGTTTTCATTGCGCCATTCTCTCTCATATGAAGCTTTTTCTGATCTATTACGTCTAATAAAGACTCTCTGCCCTAATC